CTCAGCCTCCCGAGTAGCTGGGATTAGCGGCATGCACCACCACGCCTAATTTTTTTTTTTTTTTAGACAGAGTCTTGCTGTTTTCCAGGCTGGAGTGCAGTGGCACAATCTCGGCTCACTGCAACCTCTGCCTCCCGGGCTCAAGCAATGGAGGCACCCACCACCATGTCTGGCTAATTATTTTATGTTTTTTGTAGAGATGGGGTTTCACCATGTTGGTCAGGCTAGTCTTGAACTTCTGACCTCAGGTGATTCACCCACCTCAGCCTCCCAAAGTGCTAGGATTACAGGTGTGAGCCACTGCGCCCAGCCATATTTTAATTTTTTAAGAGCAGCTAGAAGTCTAGGTTTTTAATGTAAATGTTTCCAATTAAAAAAATATTAACAGCCAGTTCATTTATAACAAACATTGTAAAACCCAAACATGTGCAGGCCAGGATTTGGCTCAGGGTCCACCAGTTTGCTACCCCCAGGCTGTGGTTTACATCTCCTGTGAACTCTAGGAACCTACTCTTATCTTTGCAAAAGGGACACAGATGTTCATGAAATGGTGATTGGACATGCCCAAATGAAAGACAAGAAAGTGTGAATGATGATGAAGGCTTAAAAAAGTCACTCAGAGAATTGGTAGTATGTTAAATTAATGAATTCCTCATGTAATGTTTATTACATACCCTAATATGGACCAGACACTGTTACAGGATTAGGTGAGGGACATACAATAATGAGGAAACCACATCCCTGCCACTCTTTCACAAGCTTACATTCTAATGAGGAAGAAATTAAATGATAAAGCAAAATAACTTCGGTTAGTGGTAAGCATTATGAAAAGTTAGTGCAGGCTAAGGGATAGAACATGATAAGGGTGTTTAGAAAGGCTTATTTTAGAAGAGGTGGTGAAAGCAACCCCTCTGGAGAGGACTGCAGAGTGGGGACCTGAACAAAGACGTCTCTGAGACAGAAACATCCCCACACAAAGAGGATCGAAATAAAGGCTCAGTAAGAGATGTGCATATATAAGGAACAGAAAGAGTGGGGTTGATGGGAGAAGCTGGCAAGGGGTATTTTATAGAGTGATATGGGAAACTACTGAAGGCTTTATATATTAGAGCAATGTGATTAACACTTTAAATAGATCATTTTAGCTACTGTTCAGAGAAAAGATTGTGGCAAAGGCATCACAGAAATCGGATGACACTTACCAGAAAAGTGATAGCTGATATAGGGAAATCTGATGAGCTATAAAAGCAGGTAGGGTAGAAATTTTTTTCTGTACTTAGAATTGGGTTAGAATTATATTGAACATAGATGGCAAAAGCAGAAGGGACAAGAGGACACCTGGAATCAAAGAGCCCAGTTTTTCATGCCTTAATTATGAAAATCTATACTGTTCAAGATTTTCTATAAGGTACATACATTATTGAAGATATATTAGAATTATCGAAGTAGCATTCTCACTTTTCTGTGTTTTGAAGTGTTTTCCAATATGAAGTTTAAATTGCAGTGGTAAAAACAAATCCTATTTGCCCAACACATATACTACACAAAATTGTTGTAAGGACCAAGTAGAGAAGAAGTAAAATAACTTGTCAAGTCAACTTAGTGGAAGAATGATTTGAATGCAGAGCTGACATGGAAGTCCACGTTCCATGTAATAGAAATGTTCAAGTGGTTACAAAGCCAAGCTTTGAACAAATGGAAATTTTCAAATGGTTAGAACATCACATTGTGGCTTCCAGCCTAAGAGTGAAAAGGATGAAGGGCACAAAGTCCACACAATGAATGCTGCTCCCTTCCAATTTTCACATAGTGAAGAGATGTTCCCTTTATCAAACCTCAAGCACACTCTGTGTCTCTTTGAACCCTTCAATATGTCCATGCATAAGACCCTCAATATGCCTATACTTTTTTTTTTTTTTGGGACGGAGTTTCGCTCTTGTTACCCAGGCTGGAGTGCAATGGCGCGATCTCGGCTCACCGCAACCTCCGCCTCCTGGGTTCAGGCAATTCTCCTGCCTCAGCCTCCTGAGTAGCTGGGATTACAGGCACGCGCCACCACGCCCAGCTAATTTTTTGTATTTTTAGTAGAGACGGGGTTTCACCGTGTTGACCAGCTATACTTTTAATTTCATTTTAAAAATTTGGTATGAAGCCGGGCGTGGTGGCTCACGCCTGTAATCCCAGCACTTTGGGAGGCCGAGGTGGGTGGATCACGAGGTCAGGAGTTCGAGACCAGTCTGGCCAACAAAATGAAACCCCATCTCAACTAAAAATACAAAAAATTACCTGAATGTGGTGGTGTGCGCCTGTAATCCCAGCTACTTGGGAGGCTGAGACAGGAGAATCACGTGAACCCGGGAGGCAGAGACTGCAGTAAGCCAAGGCGACAGTGTGAGACTCCATCTCAAAAAATAAATAAATAAAAATGCAAATTTTGGAACTTATCTTCATAATCTATTACAGCTTAGGGAGAGTTAAGAAATGGCTCTCAGAAGAAATGATTGTTATTATGAAATTATTTTTTGAAACCTTTCATGAAAACTAAATGTTTAAGCTTTTGATGCAGACTATAGCGTTAATACTGGGGTTATAAGTGGCAATATTTAAAAGCTATTAAAGCAAAACTTAGAACTTCAGTTCTGAAAGTAGTCATTTTTATGTTCACTTTGTTTTAAAATAGGAACATAGTTAAGAATTTCACTGGTCTGTAAACTTAAGATGCCAACCGCAAGGGACAAATGTAATCTTCCATAACATGAATGGACTTGTATTAAAAATCAGGATTTAATTTGTGGGTCATTTGAAGAAAAAAAGTACTAGGATCACTAGGACAAATAACATTTTCATTCCCATAGTGGGGCAACCAAAACATGAGACAGAACAGACAGAGGGAACACAGATACAAAGGCCAGCAAAGTGCAAGCACCAATGGATAAGAATGGAGAACCCAGCAAAATACCTGGTGGATGAGGCAGCAGCCTAGTTTTCAGTTCTAAAATAACACAGTAGGTGGGTGTTCATGCTTCTGAATTCCAGACAAATAAGCAATTTAAACCTGAATCTGATTGAGCCTCAGGATCTCTCAGTTTACCACACAGGGGACAGAAAAATGTGTTCAGTGACAGCATACTTAGTGAACAAACCCAGGAGAAAAACTCTTCAGGACATGACCCAATTTCTCCAAGTAAAAAATACGGAGAAGCCTGTGGTTAAAGCCAATGCAACATATTTGGACTTCGAACAAACCAATTAAAACAAATTAGAGATGACAGTGCTCTGGATACTGACAGGGGTAGTATGGCATTAACTTTTACAGTAAAGCTATATGGTTATGTTTTAAAAGTCCTCAATCTTGCGGATTGAAATACTTGGGAACAAACTTACTTGTGGGGGATTTTCTTCCCAATAGCAAGGGTGGGAGGTGGAATGGTGAATTGGAGTACAGATTGAGTATGGTTTGCTGATCATTACGTTTGGAAATACTAAATGGATATTATAGGTATTCCACAACTTTGTGTTTGAAATTTCCCACAGTAAGTTTGAAAGTAAGTATTACTTTTAGACAAAGTTTTAAAATAGCCATAGGGCAGCATGACATTAACATCCTTTGACAACTTAGAAAACTGATTTGTAACAGATGATAAGACAAAAATCAAGACCGTGGAAAAGATCTTCCCCTAGCCCACAAAGCCACCTCTAATAACACCTTTTAACATATAAACCTCATTCCACATGCAGGTTTATCCTCCAGAACTCCCCATCTTCAAAAACAACCCTCACCCACAGCACATATTTCAAAGGAAAGATAAGGCACCTAAGTAATTTAGACACTATTAATAATTTAATACTTGGGAGGCTGAGGTGGGAGGATCACTTGAGGCCAGGAGTTCGTAACCGACCTGGGCAACATAGCAAGACCTCGTCACTAAAAAAAAAAAAAAAAGTCAAAAAAAATTCAAGATTAATTTGCTAACAGGGCCTTTGCTGACATTTGCCTTCCTTCAATGTCTGTCTTGTAAAGGAAACTGTTTAGCATTTAGAAGTAGTTAGCTTTTCAGAAATATCAATTTATAACTCAGCAATGTATACTACAAATCTTGTAGAAAGAACAGTCTTAATGAACTATTCACCCTTTCAAGCATGAAGTGGCTAACTTATGCTGGGTCTCGTTAGTTTCTGGTTAGTCTTTATAGTTAGAACTGTAACTGATTTAAGCAGCACAGCTAACACTATTACATCTTAAGGAATCTTATCTCCTTCAAAGGAGTTGCTTTGTGAAGCTGTTTTTTCCAGCCTCCACCACCTGCCATTACTGAACATGTTTTAAGTCTTTGGAATCCTCTTTAGAAGCTGTAACTTAAAAAAAAAAAAATATCCTTAGCAGCAGCACGTCTTCCTCTCTGTGGGTGTATTTTATTTCTTGAAACAGCAACAAATTACTTGGAGCCAAGTCTAGCGGAATAAAGTAGGTAAAATAAATGTAATGGAAACCTTCAGGTAATTATAAAGTAATGCAACATTTTGACTTCAAAGATCTGTAAACTGATTTCCAAAATGATGAAAAAAATTACTAAATGTAACTTGAAAACATTAATCTGGACACAAATTCTGGCTTTTCATCAAAACTTCACTTCTTTGTGGTCAGAATTCTCCTAGATTTCATTAAGTCTTAACATTAAATGCCTAAATTATACAGAACTGCTAAAGCTCAATAGTTACTAAGTTTTGGCTCACTCAATAGGGCACCTCATTTCAGAAATAGTACTTAAGTCTGACTCAAAATTACCTTATGGTACCATTCAAGAGAAAACCGGGTTTTGAGTTTAGTGCTACAATATAACATTAAATTTTACATTGTTGGGCTACTCCCATTTACTTTTTCCATATATACAATGACGACTTAAAATAGCTCACAATGCAGTTAAGAATTGCATTTTAATAATCTCAAACTACTGTCTAATGGCGGAAAGAGTAAGTTTGCCAGAAAACCAGTAGAGCCATTTTGCTATTAAAGTTTTGCTTTTTAATAATTTATTTAAATAAGATATTTGAAGCAGTTTAGAAAAAACAAGATTTATATTTTATTTCCTTGTAAAAATCTTTACACATGCAGACAAACCAGTGTTAAGAAAGTATTCACCATCATTTAAACAAATAACCACTTAAATAGAACAGTGTCTGCAATTTTATCTGTATAAAAATAAGATACATTTTTACAGAATTCACGCTCCAGTTCTTATAGCAATAAACAATACACAACTATAATAAAGTACAATTGAACCTGACCATGGTTTTTAATTAGATACTGCTAGGGCATTTTAATGTGCAAAAAAATTAACATAGTTCTTTTCAAAAGAAAATGTCCTCAGTGTTCTAGAGACCTAGAGGGTTTCAAGAAATCAAATCCTAATCAGTTTGCATTTTATGTTTTGATTGAGTCCATACATCACACTGTAGATAGGCAAAACCAAGAACTGATGCAGGCTCAAGGAAGATAAAGTCAGCGCCTGTGCCTGCCATGTCCTGAGCGACTGCCGCCGTGGTGCTTGCTTTTATGGGACCTCTCAAAGGAGCGAGATCGTTCACGCCTGTCCCTATGATGTCCCCTTTCATGCCTGTGTTTCTTGGCTGCATCTGAGTGATCCCGAGACTTGCTCTGAGATCGAGAACGAGATTTTTTCCTTTTATGACCATGTCTGTTTGAACTTTTTAAATCATCTCTGGTATGCTTGGCCTTAAGGTGAGGAGAACCATGATTATGATGTCTTCGAGGGCTTTCACTGTGACTGCGGGACCTGCTTCTTGATCTTGAGCTGTATGTTCCAGATCGACTCCGCCTATTATTATAGCTTAGATAATAAAAATGTGAAGTTTAGGTTCAGTTTCTATGGGGGAAAAGATTATTCTAGTGGTTGCTCTTAACAGGTTCAAAACACAGCTACCAGTTATGTGAATATTCAGAACTTTTTAAAAATCTCCCCACCCGACTTCTGTATGCCCAAGCCTATAACATATTAAATCTTAAGCATATGCTCTTGTGTCTATATTCCAAGGGGGGTAATTAGCAATTTTTACAATGTCCTCCTACAGCTATGCTTTTTATTAAGTATCTCCCATGTGTTCAAAGGAGACAGTGAAGAGCCACAAAGAGCTAACAATCTAATTACAAGCCTAACTAGGGAAGATTCATTGACTGGTTAATCTGATTACTGGTTATTAATAAGGGGTTAATAAAATACATTTGTTAACAGAAATTAAAAAAAAAAAAAGTTTTCACATTACAAATGATACTGTGGCCCTCATAGCACTTTGTGGGTAGCTCCTACACGTCTCCAAAAAACATGGGAGAAAATATAACAGAATGCCATTAAGATCCTTTATGTCCAGAACATCTCCAAACTGATTTCTCCTAATTTGCCTCATATTAAAAGCCTAATTCTAACCTAACTTTGAAAACAATCTATATTCAATTTTTAAAGAAAAAGCAATAACTTTTAAAAACTCCAAATAAGACTGCTTTCCTAAGAAAACATTTACTTACTGTCTTCTTGGAGTATGTGATCTAGAACGTGATCGTGTTCTTGACCTTGATCGACTTGCACTTCTGCTATTTCTACTTCTCTTGCTGTCTTTTCTTACACTTCAAAAAACCACAATATATTAGTTACAAACTTAGTGTGTTAAAAAGTAATCACATAAAAGATTCCTCAGGCCAATTTTCCAGCCCAAGTTTACTCACCCATTGTAAGGGCTTTTGGAAGCCTGCTGTCTATCCTCAGGTTCTTTTTTGACTGTCTTCACATTAATGGAGATTGGTGATTTCTCTTCAGCTTTTACTTCTCTTGGTGATGCTTTTAAAAGACATAACAACATGTTAACTACTGGTTTTAACAGAGGGTCAAAAGTTGTTTCTAAATGTAACTGAAAGTACCATGCTTTCAAGTATCAGTCTTTAGTTGACTGCCAGAGAAAACACAGTAACAGTTCCTTAACATCATTTTTCACTATGCAACTTTCAAATGCAAAAGCTCTCTAATAAAGAAAACACTTTCAGTGCCCCCAAGTCATTTTAATTCTAAATATATCTTACATGGCTTGGAGGCTGGAGAAAATCCACCGAGGGTTGAAAGGGCTGGAGTTCCATCAGGATTCAATCCCTTTGCTTTTAATTTTGCTTCTTGTAGGGCTACTTTTCTTTTTTCTACTTCTTTTTCCAGTAATTCATAGTTTGGCTATTGAAGAAAAAAAAAAAGTTAGTGTTTCTCCCTTACAGTAGCTTAAACTCTTAGCAAATTGACATAAATGAGTAAATAGAGAATACCTTTTTTCTGGTATAAAGCCTAAGCGTTTCTATGCAGATATCCTGGATTTCCTCTTCTGTAGTACCAAAAAGAAGAAACCAATGGGGACGAGTTGGCAATGGAATCTAAACCATAAGAACAGAAGGATTTAAATTTTTGTTATATCTGTATTGGAACCACTGAAAATTTGTGTGATTTATCCTATAGAACAAAATGGGAAATATACACCTACCTGAAGTGCTCTAGCTGCAAGGTAGATGCAAGCACATGCTATAGTCTCTGGTTGAAATCGAACAAAAACATTGGTTCGAAGACTGTCGTTCATGTAATTCCTGAAAAATATTTCAACTATAAGCTTGCATGTAAACAAACCACTTCTTCTGAAGCTTACATAAAATTGGAGACTCAATCTACTTTATTCTTTTTTCTTCTCTTATTTATATTCACATCTCACATTCTAGCATATAACAACTCTTAACTCAAAAAAAAATCAGTAGGCAGTAAGAATTTAATACGAGGACCATTTGCAGTTCTCCAATATATAGGACCAAAGCCCTTTTAAATTATTTTGTATTACTATCCAACTAGAAATTACTTCTAAAGTATTATTTCTGTAAAAAGCAATGCTTTCAAAGTCAATTCTGACAAGATTAGTTTCAGAAATGATAAACCACTCCAACAATACTTCAAGCCATTAATTATTGACCATCTCTCCTTTATCCACAATAAAAGCTGTGTCAACCAAGTTCGTTTCAAAAGCTCAAAGTATCGTTAACAGGGGTAAAAAGGCATTTTCAGTAAGTACCACGTTAAACGTACATTAAGAAAGCTAAGATACTTCAGAAAATCTAGATAGGGAAGTAAAGAGCAATAAACACATATAATGGCCTTGTTTACATACCTTTTTTTTTGTGACTAGGTAAAAGAGATAAACTATTTCAGTTAAAAAACTGCTGAACTTTTATTATTAATGAACTCTCCCCACAATATTCCTAAACTAATAAAGAAAATTTACAGGTCATTTAAAAGGTTAAGCTAAAATTAAATGGACTATTTCCTAAAAATCCTAAACCATCAGAACTGTTATAATCCATTTTATGAAAAACATTTAAAATGTCATGCATTTTATAAAAGTAATGAGACTTTTCTAACATTACAAACATTTACTGAGTCCAAAAGAAGCATGGCAGTCATAAACAGGACATCTTGCTGGGAAGTCCAAAATATAAAAATTACTAAGTCCTTCACATCAAGTCTTAGCAAACAGTAGTTGTGGTTGAACCACTAACTCCTTGGCTTGACCTTTAAATAATCCAGCAAGCAAAATCACACATCTGCATCTCAAAAAGTCCAAGTGCTAAAGCATTTAAGCAGTATAATAGTAACATCTCTATAAATAACGAAGTGCTTCTTACTTCTAACATTACCCGCAATACGGCCAAGCAACTATTTATATAAATTAAGCCAGTGTGGGAACTGGTGCCCATTTTAAACTGCAAGTTTGTAGTCTCCTTTGGTAGAATTCATGCTATACACACTAAAAATAAAAATTTAGTCAAACGCCTAATAAACCATTTAATTCATAATGGCTGGACAACAAATCTATCAAAAATGAACTATTCATTTTGATAGTTACAAGTATACATTAAATACATAGGCATGTCAAATAGTTACTTCTAGAAGCAAATATACAAATCCTTTTGACACCCCGACAGAACTAGAAGATGCTGCCAGATGGATATGGACCACTTCAGTGAATCTCGGATGAGAGCTTGCACTGGATTGGCTGGAGAGCAGGGTAGCCAATCAGGCCATCCTGAGGTCATGGGCTGAAGTGCAGAGGGCAGAGTTCTATGACTTACCATCATGGACTACCCTTTAATTAAAGAGTAGAAAAAAGAACAAAGTTAAATTGAGTTCTCCATTAAAAGTAATTAGTCAAGCCAAGAAAACAGGAAGCAGAAATAAGCATTATTTACCTTTTGGTTAAAAAAACAAAAACAACAACAAAAAGCCCCAAAACAAACTTATCTCATTATTTTGGAAAGGGAAACGAAACTTACTTTATTTCTGCTTCTGTTTTCCTGGCTAGGAAAGAAATCTAAAAAAGTGACTTACCAGGCAGTTTGAACCAGGGTTTGATTACGTTCACATTCTAAGACTTGTAAATACATAACAATGATCTGAAGGACAAGGGAAAAAAACTCGATTTAGTATACTGGTAGTTCTTTCAGACTACAGAGTTCAATAAAAAAAGTAACTGAAAATGTTAGATTTAAGTTCTAATTCTACATCAATAACACAGACCAACTTAAATATACATAAGATTCTAATGTGAGTTGTTGTATTACTAGATTTTTACATAAATTATGTTTAGAACTGTATTTCAAAATTGTACGGGAAAAAAGGCAATTAAAGAATATTTTTCACTGGCACTTTACCACGTGACGGGCACTGTGCTAGGAGATTATTTCACCTAATTTCCCAAGGTACATTTCTAGCCCAGATAGTTCTGACCTGAGCACTCGCTCTACCACGTATACTGATAATGAAAGCTAAGAGATTTAGAGAGAAACAAATTTCCAATAATGTTTAACAGTGAGCAGCTACCACACTTAGAACATTCTATTATGATGGTTAAGTATGCCAAATACTTTTGTAGCTACATATTTATTCCTTGGAATGAGGAACTTTATATCTCTGTTCTCTAGGCGGAAAAACTGGGACTTTAACCATAGAAACAAAAATAACTTCCTTATGACCACACAATTAAGATTTGAACCTACATTTTTGTACTCTCATTTTACTGATAAATCTCAACATCCAAAAGAATGTTTTTTTGATGAAGTCTGAACCTTTAAAAGAATGCTTTTTAAAATCAAGGTTAACGCTCACATAGAAACATAAATTCATATAAAGTAGAAATTTTGGAGAAGTCCTAATACTTACGAACCCAATTTCTGTACTCTACAACTCACCTTATGAGGATGCTTGACATGAACACAAAATCCCAACTCCTTTAGCACCCTCCTCTCTGCTTTGATAACTTGATTTTTGGTGTTAATGTAGTTCTGATCAAGGATCAGGGGGCTTGGAGTCCTATAGTTTGTAAGAAATAAAATCAAAACTGTTTTGCACATCCAAAAAATTTTATTTGTGGCATCTCCATTTTCCCTTCCAACCAACTATTGGCAACAGAAACCAGCTTTTTAAACTCCTGCAAACAAGTTAAAGCATTAATCTTGTGCTGTCCAAGTTATACTAATTAAATATATACATCTAGAGACTAAGTTCAACTACATTCTATAATGAAAAAAATTCAATCTAATGCTCTTCGGTTCATCCTTGTCAACTTTTCCATTCTGCTTATATTCTAGGTCTGTGCGTGTGTGTATACGTATTTAACTTTAGTGATAGTGTGATTTGTTATCACAAACCTCAAAGTCTCTCCAAGAGACTTTCCATTGACAAAACTAATGTGCTCCAGGCTGGTCCGATGGCAGTGGGTTATCAGAACTTACGAATATCAGTGTCACTAAAGTTAGTAGACAATCCCCCACTGCTAAATTTGACTGGCTTAAAAAAACACAAAAAACTAATGTGCTCCTAAGATTTCAGGACTATAAAGTCCTCATAAGATCATACTGATTTTTTACTCATTCTATAAAAGAACAGCTGTTGGCTGGTTTACGGGCAAAATTTTTTAAAATCTTGGTGGGGGTGGGGGGAAACAGTGGGTAGTTTATCCAGATTCCCCTAATGGGGTGATATTTTTTAACAATTTGTTGTAAGAGCCTACCTGTTAAAGTAATCTGAAAACTAAAGATTCAGCTCAATTACCCAAGTAAATTAAAAATTATATTATGTGATTCATGAGATCCAGGCCAAAATTTCATCAGGGTTGTGGTTTTAGGCAATTTACTTTTGTATTAATACAAAAGAGAATGAAGGGCCATAGTGAGGAAACCAGATCACATTCAAAGGCTCTGTATCAGACTAAATTTTGGTAATTCAGAAGGTTCTAAAATACAGAAGGCTTATGTCAGTGATTTAATGCTTTAAAAATAGCACATTCAACTGATGTTATCCCCAAATGTTTTATTGCATAGTTTAAAAACCTACCACTTAAAATAAAAGACTATCTTATTTATGTCTTACAATTCAAAACTGGTTTCTTCCTGAGAAGATTTAGTCAGGAAAGGTTAAGGAATTGAGCTTTTGTTTTTTGTTGGTCATGTCTGAAATTTACCCATGTCTAATACATTCTTAGATGCGACCAACAAAAACTACAATTTTATCAAGATATTGATTATATGCTAAGTTTACAGGTTGAACACTTAAATATTTTTGTCCATACTCATCCAAAAGACTGTTCTAGGCAGAATACACAAACTATTTTTAAAACAGTCATCCTCTCTACCCCAATGCAGATCAGATCCAGAAAAATGTAATCTCGTATTTTAAAAATCAAAGTCTATTTCACTACATGCACCTGAAGGTTAGAAAATCTGAAACGATCTTTATTACTCCTATAGTAACATCAGAGTAAAAGGTCAGCTATCATACATTTTCCTTTCTTCCATTTAAAATTATTACAGAACCTGGAATGCTTACTAAACAAAAATTGGCAGAGCTGACAAGATAAAAACCAGCTGTTACTTAAAATGGCCTTCACTTAATTCCATTTCTCACACCTGTAATGAGGCCACCAGTTGGCCTCATTGAGCTGCTTTCTAACATTAACGTGTAATGATGAATTCACTTTATCAGGACAATAGGCTACAAATTGCTCTTTGGAAAAAAAAAATGAAACTTAATTCTCCTTAATTCTCATGAGAGCAACCTATCTCTCTCTCTCTCTCTCCCTCACTCCCTCTCACTCTCTCTCTCTCCCTCTCACTCTCTCTCTCTCTCCTCTCGATACACACACATACACACACGATCTTAAGGTTTATGATCAGTCTTTATCATCATAGGAAATTTGTAAACAAGTTAAATCAACCTCACTCTTTTTAACTGAATGGCTGTGTTATCTAATGGCTCTCCTTAAACTGGCATTAAGAGATAAAATAGCTTGTGTTACAGCTGCACACTATTTTAACTCTTAACCTCTTGCAATCCAGACAGTAGACTGCATCATCAAAATTCCTAATAAAATATATTTTATGAAAGTATAGTTGTTTCATTTTTCTCCATTTATGTTAATAAAGATTATCTACACCTCTAAAGATAACCTGCTTTAAGAGTTGCCTTCAAATGGTGATATAATTTATTTGCTCTTCTAATTACACTAAGGCAGTTAAATATTTGTTTGAATCATAGCTATTTAGTCCCAAATCAGATTTAATCACGCCATATTGTTTTGTGTCAAAATCCCAATGATACCAAAATAGATTTAAGAAAACCAAACCCATTATTTACTATAATTCAACTATGTATTCAACTTCTTGCTTAATCCTATTTATTACCTGCAGTTTTCAAAGTTAACTTTGTGGGTGTATAACCTAAAACCAGAAAGCTTATTTTGTTCGGAATTGGTTTTACCTCACAAATTAAGGATGTACCCATAATTTACAACTACCTGCTAGAGATTATTTTGTATCGTAAATTTAAAAAAATGTATCTCCATAAATCAGCAATAAACAAAGTTTCAAAGCATAAATTAGTACTTTGTTGCAACAAGTACATTAAATTAAGGCCTGCTAGAATTTCTTCCTCCCCAATCAGGTAAACTTTCCTTGCCAATAAAGTCTGGAGACATGGCATTTTTAAATCTCTAAAAAAGACTTCAGAGAAAACAAAAATAATTTTCATTATCAACACACTAACTCAATCTCTGCTTTAAGTTTCTATTGTCTGATTTTTCTGATCTATACATGAATAATTTTTAACTTTAGAAAATCCTGGTCTTTGGTCATTAGAAGTTTATTAGGTGGTTTGTTAGAGGCGTTGGTTTGTTAGAGGCGTGATTTTCCTTTAGCATGATTATGTAATTGACATATAACTCAACAACAAAAATTATGGAGTCCAAACATGGTAGTCTCATTTATGTGTTATAAAGGCTGAGAAACATTGGAACTAGATCTTCAAGAGACTATATTAATAACAGGTAAGTCATTTTCAAAGAGGCAGACTGCCAAGGAAATATACAGAAATCTGTAATGCCTACTTCAAAGAAAGTAGAAACATTCTTTACAGGTATTTAAATAAACTGAAAGCCACCTTGTAGAGTCACAGAATTAAATGTAGAAGGCTGGCAGACTAAATGATGTCACTTAATACCCTTCCAATTCTTATTTATCCAACTTCTATGATCTATGGATACACTGAAAATATATGTTTAATAATGAGAATGGTTAAACCAGTCTTTAAAAATGTTAATACGCTACATCTCAGAAGTAAATATGACAAAGCAATCATCCCTCTAGATTTAGCCATTCATTCTGAACCTAAAAGATAATTACCGAACCACAAAAAATTTGAAGGAGGAATAGGCCAAACAATCCAGGTTGGGGATTAAGCACTGGTATTTTTTAAAAAGCTTCTCTGCTAATTCTCAATGTGTAGCCAGGCTGATGAGACCAAAGACCTACAGGCAACATGAATAATATTATCTCCACTGTAACTGTCAAAGTCACACTGCAATTTAAAGTTATGCATCAACTAGATTAAAACAAATAGCATCGAGACAAGTGATATCCTTTACCTAACTAAAGTGTAATACTGATAGTACTTTCTAATGACATTAACCTATGCAAAAATAAATACAAAGCTATAGTTCTAATAACTTGGACAGCAAAGACAAAAGCTTATAACAAGAAACAGGAGTTTTTCTAAATGGTTCACCAGTGGCCAACCTGTTTGTCCCCGATTCCAGTGACCTATTCTCAGAGCACTGGCTTCTCCTTGGGGATTTTCGATACTTCACTCACTGTTGCCATGACGACAGCTTCATCTCTATGTACCACTCCACATCACCCAGGCTTTGGTAAATGTAGCTGGTCGCTGTATAGTCGGTTGCAAGGGAAAAAAGAGTTGAAGTTAATAACATATACAAGTTACGTGCTTGAGTAAACTTGTAATATGCATAGAAACACTTTTACATCCTGCTTTAAAAAAAAGGCTTCCATGCAATTAACAACTCCTTTTAAATTTTGCTATAATCAGACTTCTAAGAGTGAAACAAAATCAGTTTTCTCTGTAATAATGACCCAAAAAAACAAAGTTACATCAGACACAACAATCAGGCGAGATCATACTATTTTAAATTCCACGGTTTTTACAGTTAAGACCTGTTCTGACATCAGCGAAGAAAACTCAGTCTCACAGAAAACTTCACAAAAGATAATCATATGATTACATAATAGTTGGCTCAATAGTTCAAAGAATCATACTAGAAAACCATTTCCTTTAAGCAAAGAGAAACCTTTGACTAAAGATAGAGCCTTGTAGTGTCATGACTTTAAACATCCTGAAGAATCAGTCAGGTATCTAAATAGATTTAAGCTCAGACCATACCAATCACCAATTTGAAATCTTCCCAATTCCAAGAGACTTACCAACAAACTAAAAGGTATTTTAGAATTTAAAAATTACTCTATCCCTGGACACAGTTAAGGTGAGTGAGCAAAGATGGGGGAGAAAAAGTATGTAAGAAAACTGTTTCAGACTTTTGACTAGGATACTCTTAAAAAAAAAAAACAAAAAACTGCAGAATCACAGAATAGACTAGTCATCTTAAAGTTGCTTTAATATTTGCTTATCTGAATAGTTCCATTACTGCCAACTTACAGATTTAGCCAATAAGGACTACTCATATAGGATACCAACTTGGCACTAACCAACATACCCAACCCCCAGAACAACTTATGATCCTTTTAATAACTTCCTTTCAAACTCAGTAGTTTGTTGAACTTCACTACAATTCCTTAAAGAGTGAATACAAAAACTAATCTACACCAAATATAATTTTCTGCAGCAGGTACTGGAAGTCACCTGTAGATGCAAGAAGTCTTGCAACAAACTTTTTGGTACTGCCTCACAGGAACACATAGGTCCACATAAAGTTATGTTATCAAAACACCTAGCAGATACTACTTCAGTCTCTGTACTTTCTTACAACATCAAATAAATGGGCCTTATCTAAATGTAACCCAATCACTCTAACTTAATTTTCTAACCCACTCACTGAGACTGTATCTGACCAAACAAAATACCTGTTTAATCCCTTTGACTTCAAACTTCAAACTTTATCATCCTGCAGTCCTTTCAGATCCGGTATTATTCGATATATCGTAGTTCAATGTTGAGAAGTACTCTAACAAAAGCCAACCTCAATTGATAAAGAATTAACTGGGACTTCGAGTAGAAAAACATAATCTACACAGAACTTTGCCACAATATTAACTACAGTGTTTAAACTTCCAGCCTTCAGTCTTCCAGAGAGGGGAGAGGAAAAATAACTTACAGAATACACTCACACTTGAGCCAAATGTATTCCCTTTCTTGTTTAATCTTAAGCCACAGGCCTGGCTTCACAGCACTGTTAGGATTGTCCATAAACGCAACTGCCTCTACAAACTTCAGATAACTGGTTAATTATGGATTTTTTTCAAGTTAATTTAAATATCAGTGTTCCTGTATGAACTTTAACACCTAAATTAAAGTCCGTTTTCTCTTGCACCCATATTCACTTGAGAGGAAAGATGTTTTGACTTGATGACTGGTGCACGGTACAGCAGTAACAAGAGATGCTATGCTCAATAATGCCAATCTTACCTTTTTCCTCTTAACTGGCGTAGGTGGTGGAATACATTAATCACATCTCTTATTCTTCTAGGTGCTTCTTCGATTTTTGATGCAAGATTAATACAAGCCATAGCAACAATCTGGAAGAATCCAGGAGAAACAAAAACCATTGTTAGATTAAACTTACTTTGATGAATAAACTTTAGAACACAAGTGGGACAACCTTTAGCAAAACTTAGAGTGGACATTTCTATGCCATAAGCTTACCAGCTACGCTAGTACCATAATCTTTTTGTTGTTCTACTCATCTTAATTTTGGTTCCAGAGTCAAGCTCAATCTCACAGTGAGTTCTGCATTTGGTTGAAAACTGTACTTCTCCTTAAGAGGGCACACTTAGGCTCGGGATCCATTTTCTAGAGTTTGAACACATTCTAAAGGTTTCCACTTCCCGGCGAGTGAGAACTAGGTACAAAGGCCTAAGCTAAACCACACCCTTTCTGGAAAAGCTGGCTGCTGACACTACCCCTACTTCTGCCCATTTCCGGATGAAAAATCCCTTTTAACCGCCTCCGCAGTGCTTACCTCGAAACTGTGTTTGACGAAAGATTTGGAGTAGAAAAAACGATGAAACAACACCTGCCCCGTTGCCATCGCCACCTGCAGACAAGAGAGGAGAACCGAAACGCAGGGGTCAGGCGGGCCCGCTCCAAGCGCCGGCCGCCATTTTGTGCCGCCGGTCGCTTCCCTTTCCCCTCCCGCGGCAGCCGTAGCGAACAGCACGCTACCGGGTCTTTCCTCCGCCTCCGCAGCCCCAAACCCCAGGACGCCCCGGCCCCGGGTGGGCTCCAAATGGGAGAGCCTCAGAGAGCCATCCCCACCCTGCTAGAGCACAGTGATACTGAGATGCGGCGCAGGGGACGAAAGAGAGGAGAGGAGCACCCGGCCGGCCCGGGGCCGGAGCAACTGACCTGCGGCAGCCGGAGGAGAATGCCGGCGGCCTGGATGAGCTCGCAGCCCAGGATGCGTAAGTCTGTCTCGCTAGGCAGGTCGAGCCCGTCCTGCATGGACGGGGTAGGCGAGAGCCTCTCCTCCGGAATCAGAGAGTGGTCGATGGTGAGTGAAACTTCCGAGTACAGGCGGTCACCGATCAGGATCCCTCCCGTCGTGGTCGTCGTCGTGGTCGTGGTCCCGGAGCTGGAGCCGCCCGCGCTTGGTACGGCTGACGAAGCGGCGGCGGCGGCAGCGGTAGCTGTCGGGTGAGGCCCGGACGCCATAGTCTTAGCGAGCTGCACGCAAGCCCAACGCAGCCGGAACCCGAAACGAGACTAACCAGCGTTCTCGGCGCGACGGATATTCCCGTGACCGCCGGGTTGTCGGCCGCTTCACGCCGTGTGCGCTTCCGCCCTGACGTCACCACGCCGGGCCGCCGCGCGCCAACTAGTCCCTCCAGGCAGCGCCCCAGCCCTTGGCGTCTGGGCCTGCGCCGGGAACGTCAGGTGCTGCGACCGACTTTGGGGTACTCGGTGGCCAAGGAGGCAGTATCTAGCCAAGGCCAGTCGAAACTACCTTATCTGCGATACTTAGCCACACAAAAAACGGAGCTTAAAGATCCGTATTCCTAAAATAGAGGGGACAACATTGATTATCATTCCTGCTTCCGTCCTCTTCTTTAGCCTCGGCGCGGTTCTTGTTTCGCATGTACCGAGGGAAGTGGCGGCCGATCTAAGCGTGCTTTGGCGGGTGGAAGTGGTGACTCTGGTGTCTTATGTGGACCAATGTGTAATATAAAGTGACCCTCAGGGAATCTGGAGAGGGTGCTTTACAGTATTTGAAGAACACAGGGCTGTGGACCATATCGGTTCCCAAATGAAAGCTCCACGGAAAGCGTGTGGTTCCCAGTGTGAGGAAGTAGAGCAGACGCATAGGAATGATCCGGAGGGTGGCTGCTTTCGTAGCTCTGCTTGCGAAACTCGTGGCCGGCTTTTGACACCACCACGGCTTTCAGTAATCTGGAAAATCCCTAGTTTCCAAAAATAGTCTTACAGCGAGGACTTGACAGAGGTAATTTGATTATGCCTAGGAGTCTCTATTCATACATGGTTATCTACCTCGGGTAGGCAGAATGGGTGAAGTCAACCTCGTAGTTATTTCCTCTAATACTAGCTAGCAATTTCCAGCGTTTACAGAAACTTGAAGTAAAAATAATACTGATCCAAACTACTAGAATCTACGTTGGAAGGAAAGGAATATAAAAATTAGTGGTGGCACACATCTGTAGTACCAGCTACTTAGGAGGCTGAGGTGGGAGGATCACCTGAGCCCAGAGACGTCAAGGCAACTGTGAGCTATAATAGTGCCACTGCATTCCAGCCTGAGTGGCAGAATAAGACCCCGTCTCAAAAAAATAAAGAGAAAGAAAATAAAACACTGTAATAATTTTTCCAAAGTATGATTTTTCTGGAATTTGTCCCTGAAAAGGTTAGGGCAGAGTTATCATTTTTAAAGATTATTTTTTCCTTCCATTCACAGATATAGACTCATTTTTAAAAAATGTCTCTCCATGCTTACAAAATAGACTCCATCTTTACAAAACCTTGTGGAATAGAGCCACTAGCCCCAATGCCCTCTATCCTCTGGATTTAGCCTTTTTTTTTTTTTTTTTTATGTTTTTTGCCACCTCCAATTAGAGTGTCATGGATTTTAAAAAAATGAAACTAAAGTTTAAAATAACATGACAGTTTGATGAGTTAATGCTAAGTAAGTACTTATATAAAATATTGATCGACCCCCTCCACCTTTGTTGAAGCTGGGAGGGAGGAACAGTAAAAACAATCATGAGTTTTCAATAAAATGAAGTGTTCTGTCAGAAGTGAGTGGGAAATGGGGCTAGTGGCTCCATTCCACAAGGTTTTGTAAAGATGGAGTCTATTTTGTAAGCATGGAGAGCTATTTTCAAAAAATGAGTCTATATCTGTGAATGGAAGGAAAAAATAATCTTTAAAAATGATAACTCTGCCCTTTTCAGGGACAAATTCCAGAAAAATCATACTTTGGAAAAACTATTATAGTGTTTCTTTTTATTTTCTTTCTCTTTATTTTGTTTGAGACGGGGTCTTACTCTGTCACTCAGGCTGGAATGCAGCGGCACTATTATAGCTCACCGTTGCCTTGACGTCTCTGGGGTCAGGTGATCCTCCCACCTCAGTCTTCTAAGTAGCTGGTACTACAGATGTGTGCCACTACTAATTTTTATATTTTTTGTAGAGATGAGGGTCTCACTATGCTGCGTCAGCTGCTCTGGAACTGCTGGGCTCAAGAGATCCACCCACCTAGGCCTCCCAAAATGTTGGGATTACAGGAGTAAGCCAGGGGGCTTGACTGTGTTACATTGTTTCTGTTACTTTGAGAAAGGTTGTTCTTCCAAATGTACCTACTTAACATTAACATTAAAATGCAGGTATGAGAAAGACCACCATGCACAGTGGCTCACGCGTGTAATCCCAGCACTTTAGGAGAACAAGTTGGGAGGATCACTTGACCACAGGAGTTTGAGACCAGTTTGGGCAACAAAGTGAGACCCCTGTTTTTTTTGTTTGTGTTTTGGTGGTTTTTTTTTAAAAAAAGGAAAGGAAAGAAAAAAAGTGGAAGGGGTAAGACCTATCCACAATTATAAAGGATTAGAAAGAGTGAAGCTCATTTTATTTTATTCTATTTATTTATTTAGACAGGCTCTCACTCTGTTGCCCAGGCTGGAGTGCAGTAGCACGATCACAGCTCACTGCAGCTTCAACCTCCCAGGCAAGTGACTCCCACCTTAACCTCCCCAGTAGCTGGGACTACCGGCACATGCCACAATGCAGGTAATTTTTTTTTTTTTTTTTAATATTTTTTGTGCAGACAGACAGAATCTCACTCCATTGCCCAGGCTGGTCTTGAACTCCTGGGCTCAAATGATACTGCCATCTTCACGTCCCAAAGTGCTGGGACTACAAGGTGTCAGCCACTGCACCTGGTCAACCCCACATTTTAATTGTTATATGTTGGTGCAAAAGTAATTACGGTTTTGCCATTTTAATAGCAAAAAACACAATTACTTTTACACCAACCTAATATAGAAGCATTAGTAGAAATGAATCCAGACAGGTGAGATGAGATACTGGAAAGTAAATGATTGAGTTGCTTGTCACTCTAAGAAAAAATGTAATGGTAAATCTGTAATTGTACACACACAGCAGAGATCTAACTGGTAGACCCTGAGTTCACCCATGTCTAAGGAAATCCAATGATAAGTAAATATATCATTACTGTTTCAACATAGGCAGGCTTCCAATGACAACTGAAGAGACGAGTAGAATTATCAGTGGCCTACCTGGGGCTACTGAAGAATGATATAGCTGATGTTTAAATTAGTTCTCATTTTATTAGACTTTTTAGCCTCTCTGGGGAGCATGGTTTTCATTATTTAACTTTTGGGTTCTTTAATTTTAAAATCACAATTGGCATCATTCCATTAATTTCTTCAGCAATCAGTTATTCACCAGTAGACCACAGGAATTTAATATTTTGCCACGAAAACTTAGGCAAATGAAGTCTCCAGTTAGAACGAGCTACACTCAATACACGGAAAGACAAATGTTAAGGTGACCAGCAAGTGTAAAAAGCAGGCAGAGAAGGGATAAATCATCATGGTTGATGACATTATGAAGAAGGTATAACCTTAAGAAGTTGCTAATCAAATTTCTGTTGATGGCAGAGACAATGGAGCATCTGCCTTTATGCATGAGCTGTTCATGTAGTTCAATGACTATTTTTCATTTAGTCCTTTGGCTGTTATATGACTACACACATTCTGAATGGGTTGCTCTCTTCATTAGAAATAGAGATACTCTGTAAATGATTTATTTGTAATGAACACTTAGGCATATGCTGCCTGGTACATCTCCTGATAGCACTGGCCTGGGAATTCTGCTGCTGGCTCTGCTGAGAATTAGTCCTGAGACTTTGGGCAAACAGTTTTTTCTACTTTAAAATGACAGAGTCTGACCCTTGCAGGTCTAAAATTATTTGACTCTGATCGTAAAAGTATCTTGAACTTTAGACTCATTTTTGGTTCTTGTTTTTCTTTCTGTGTTAATCACCAAGTCCTGTTGGTCCTTCCTTTTAAGAAGAAAATTGTTCTTGAATCTCCGTGTTCTCTCTATTCTTACAGCTACACATCTGCTGTGTCTGCCCTACCAATACGGCCCTCTCTCCCTAATAGAGGCTCCAGGGCCCCCATTTATCCTGTTCTCTTTGCAGCACTTCGTAGCAGATCAGCCGTGTTTCCACTTTTGCTCTATTCTTTTTCTTAGGATGGGCTAGATAAATAGTCTATAACTTCTGCTCCATATAGGCATGGGCTGCAGAACAAGAGGTCTGTTGGAATTGCCATAACCAGAGAGATTGTGTATATTGTGGGGACCAGGGAGAGATTGGGAACTCACAGAAAGCAGTACGGTGAAGTGTTTTGGTGTCTGACACACATGTAGGCTCTGGGACAGTTTTGGAGATAGGTCTACAATTGGGCATACGTGACTGAGATGTATGGCCAATAGGAATTTTATAAACTGAACTATAAAGTCAACAAACCCACAAGTTTGCTTTTAGAGCCAAAGTTAATATTATCCAATTCAATCTCTTTTTTTACACACGAGGAAACTAAGGTCCAAAGATGTGCTTGCAAATAGTAGATAATAAATATTAGGTGATTGTAAATAATCTTATCAAGTCAGTCTTCAGACAGATTAATTCTTTTGTTTTTGAGATGGAGTCTCTCTTTGTCACTCAGCCTGGAGTGCAATGGTGCAATCTCAGCTTACTGCAACCTCCCCTTCCCCTGTCCAGGCGATTCTCCTGCCTCAGCTTCTGGAATAGCTGAGATTACAGGCATATGCCACCACACTCGGCTAATTTTTGTATTTTTAGTAGAGGTAGGGTTTTACCATGTTGGTCAGGCTGGTCTGGAACTCCTGACCTCAGGTGATCCATCTGCCTTGGCCTCCCAAAGTGCACAGATTCATTCTTTATGGTATTTAATGCCAGAACCAACTAGTCTTGGTTTTAGTCAGCAATTCAAGAGTAAATCTACTTGTCACAACCCATCAAGGGAATCTGGCTTTGATGACACTGATTTCAGATCAGTGAACCTGATTTAGGATATCTGACCTCCAGAACTATTAGAAAATAAATGTATGTTGTTTTAAGCCATCAAGCTTCTTGTAATTTGTTACAGCAGCCTTAGAAAACATACAGTGACCTTAGGGATTCTGCAGGTAAAGGTAGACTTCACTAACATCTTCATCTCAGTAGCACTGGAAAATCAGATAAGCCATATATATTATGTTTTTTAATGTTATCACATGTGGGCCACAGCCTTAAGCCAGAGGTTAGCTTTGTAAGGCAGGAAAATATAAAATGATGAAAGCTTCTCTACCTATAGCTTTTCTGACTTGTACTCTGAGTGGGACAACCAGTGAAAATTGCAGGTAGAGAGAAGAAATGCATATTTATTCCTCCACTGGGAACAAAAATCCTGTCAATAGGTATGTGACTTTAGGTAAATTAATCTGCTTATTTAGGCAATTATTTAAGCTCAATTTACTCACCAATAAAATGATAACTCCTACCACAAAAGATTGTTGTCAGGTAAAATGATTATAGATTAATTCATGTGTTTTCCAATCCTTGGAAATGCGGATTCCTTATGTGGTGTTGGTCAATGGATAATGCCTGTTGTTCTGGCTAGGGATTTTTGATCTGTCAGCTGTGAACAGTTTGTCTTCATTCATTCATTCATTCATTAATTCATTCATTCATCTTTAAATTCTTACTTATTAATTGACAACTAAGTACCAGATTCTGTTCTAAGCATTGGGAATGTTTCT